AAGAACGTTGTATTTTAAACAAATATGTCATCCTCATTCATTCTTTATTTTTTTTGTTAAATTTTACGTTTTTTAGTCTCAAAACTACATGTTGTGGTTTTTTATGTATTGTGTTATGACGTTTTGTGAAAAATCTGTCTGTGATGAAGAAAAATGGATAACATTTTCAGATTCAGCGTACAGGAATAACTGTAGAACATGTAAAAATTTCATGACAATAAAACCATTGTAGGCCTGTGTAATACATTAACTCAATGAGTTCCTCTGTGTGTTTATTTTATTGAAGTAATTGTTTTGGCAATTTTTTTTTTTTGTTTACAAGAACTTAGTTCTTTTAAACAGAAATTGATAAATTTTAGAATTGTATTTCACCCTTGGTCAAAGGTAAGAGACGTTTCATATTGTTTATCATACACTACCAAACTTGTTAAAAGAGGCCATAAATATGTTTTGGGTTTAAAAAGAGGAAGTTAATTACTATCTATTTTTATTAGTTTTAATACTTTAGACGATTTTCTGTTTCACCATTTTTTTTCAATGAAGTGGCCTATGACACCATTAGGCTTCCATGGTAAGTGTATAAAACTGGCTATGATTTCAACTGTTATGTAATGCATACATAACTGCAGTAAATAGCCATGTTATATAGTGGTTTTGATAGTATTATAAATCATAAGTTGACAAAAAAAAATCAAATTTATATTTAAAAATGTATCATAAATATTGTGCTCTGTGTTGGAAATGTCTTTGTTTCAGAGTTGGTGAGGTTTATGTTTATTAATAAAAAATCGAAATGGGTATAACAACATACACTGAGCTGGAAAGGGTTAAAACAGGCACATTTTAGCAGTTATTTAGGATTTTATGGAAAACCTAAATAGTATTGCCCAAATACTGTTTCAGTTCTTGAAAAAAATAAAAGTGTAATTATGTCAGGGTTGTTTATGTCATAGAAAAGTTTAGATCTTATAGTGTTTGTTAAAATCTCCATATTACAAAAAGGTGCTTGGAAATTTATTGTCTTGTATAAGATTCCTTGGTGTGGAAGAAGTTTAGAGCAGTTAATTATACTGTTTTGTTAAAGAGCTTTTGTGGGGGAGGAGGTTATACTATTGTCTGTATTTAATAGTATTATTTATTAACAATATTTTGACTCTGCTAGAAATTTGAAGCAGTAAGTTGTAAATTTTAACATAAAGATTAACTTCCTTTTTTCCCCATTCAGGATAATGAGTTAGTTTTGAGTCGAATGAAAACCATGATCACAACAACTCTTCAGCAGTGGAGAAATTCCCCGTTTCAAGATGTGGAAGCTGCCATCACTTTCTTGTATCTTCTTGGTGAGGCTGTTCCAGTAAGTTTTAAAATATTCTTCATACAGTTTGAATGTTGAACTAGTTGTTTACAGTTTAGTATTATTTATGTAGTGGTTTCAAGGTAATTTGTCAAACTCTTCATCTTGTCATTATTGTTAAAGTCTGATAAGTCTGACTCTTGATACATTTTGGTATAGAAAAAATACTAATACATCATCTTAGGCATAGTCATAAATATTGTATTTCATTTCTCAACAATTTGATTAATTTAAAATTAACACTTTCTTGGTTGGATTAACAGTTATAACTGTATTGTAGTTACTTAATACCGTTGCATTTAACCATCACTAGCTTATTAACAAAACAATACTTTAAAAAAGTGTTTGGTAGTATTAGAAATACAATAAAATTTATGTTAACATTTAGTATTATATAATTTATATATTAATTGATAAAGCTGCATATGCTACCCTTCAAACAACATGGCATAATTGAATTCCATTTGGTCATATTTACCCTCGCTGTAATAGTTAAATCTAGCTGATGATCAGACATGAAGCAAACAAATAATAGTGCTGAAGAATGTATACATTAGAATAGTTAATGAATCTTTTTTTTCTTATGAAAAGTATAACAAGTTTTTAAAATCATTGCTTTTTTTTATAAAGACAGATAATTTTATTTTCATTAACCCTGTGTGAATACATTGGTGTATTGCACCAACCCCTGTTTATATGATGCTATACATAACTATTTTTACTAACATTTCAAATTTATATAGTGTATAATTTCTTTTCAGGCACATTGTGCTACTATATTAAGAATAAAAAATGATGATGATGATGATGACAAAACCTTGTCAAAACGTTGTACATTTGCTGTTATGTTAAACTTATATTAAAGTTTTTCTTCATTACCCATTCAAGCTGTCTCCAACCATGACTTGGTTTTTGAATGAAACTGAAATAAAATTTACAAGTATTATGCTTTTAATCAAAATCAGATAGAACATCATCATAATTTTCTCAATATGCAATAAAACACCCTATTTCAAAAGGATTAAACTATTGACTTGTGAACACTTTCTCTTCGTTCATGGTATAGAAAAATCTGTGTGTACGTTAAAAAACACAGCACTAATTTGTACTGTTGTTGTCGTCAGGCTTCCCATGGGAATCATTTTATTGGAGATGGAGATAAACCTACTGTAATGACAGAGCTCCTGAGATTAGTAAGTAAACTTTAAACATATGCGTATTTATATTTTTAATACTTATCTTGTTTTTAACACATCTTGTAGTCTGAATAATCAGAATTCTTTCAAAAAAATCAGTGATAGTCATTTGGATATTATTTAATTTATAGCATTACATGTATAACATCTAATAATTTTAAATAAATAGATAATAGCCTGAAATTGATTCATCTACATTTAATTGTTTGTTTCTACAAATAAATTTGTGCAAGTAAACAAAAACTACATAGTGTTTTATGCATCCTTTCACATAATATATTCAAACATGACATTGATGTGCTTCCTCAAGGATGAACATTATAGCATTTTAGTTAATCTTAAGTTACTGTGTTTGGATTTTTACTTGGTAGTTGCCCACAAATGATTTTGCTGAACTACCTTTATATGAATTATGATTAACAGTATTTTTTTTTTTCACAAATCCACCATATCTGTCAAAAGTAAATTATAGGATTGAAAAATTATTATATTCGCCTTGTATGTTAATATGTTATACAAGATGTTATGATAATAATAGTGAGTTTTACATGCATTATTTTCAGGATTGTGCTATATTAATAGTAAACCATCTTGATTTTACAAGTGTTGGAATCCATAGAAGTAGACCAAATTTTAAATGATTCAGTTTGATACATGACATTTTTGATTAGCTGGGATTAATTTCTATTGTTTGTCTAAATTATATTTTTCGGAGAACATAACTATTCAGTTATGTCGGAATTTTATTCATGAATGATAAGTTGATAATTGGTAAGAAGATCACAAAAACATGCACCTTTTTCTTTACAGATGTTGTGTCACATCAACCAAACTTATAATAAGAATAGTGTATACTTAATAAAAGTACTTTTTTTTTAGCTTGTCACTTGTGGAGTCAGTACTTATGGACACATGGCGGTAACTTTACATTTTTTTGAGACAGTTGTGCGCTACGAAAAATTTTTCAGTCAAGAACCTCATCATATTCCTGAAGTTCTTGTAAGACTTTGTTTTTGCTTAATTATTTTGTTTTTAACCTTATGATTTACTTGTAAAGCAGATTGAAATTTTTAAAAACCTGTGTTTTTGTGAAGGTTTTAAAAAGAAACATTTCATTCAGTAAAGAGATTGATTTGAATTTTACAATGCATTTGTATCTTGCACTGCTGAAACTCCTATTATATTTGGGGTTTATTAATCATGACTGAGTGAATTTTTAATGAAATAGTTTTCTTTGATAAATTGTTTTTAACTATTATACTATGGTTTATTGTCTTTGACTGAGGAAGTTAAAATATTCTTACATTATGGTTCATTAGTTGCGACTAAGTGAGTTATTGATGAAGTAGTATTCTTAATTTTTTAATAAAGTTGAAAGGTTTAATGGAATTGTAAATAATCCTTGAAATGTATTTTTAAAATTGCTAATATTAGATTAACACTTAATACACGAGCTAACAGGAAGATGTAATAGTAAAATATTTTGACCTAAAACAACTTTTATTAGATCTTTTCAATATTAACTTTCAACTAAAAAGTATGTTTTTTTTAAATAACCAGATATTTTAATGTCCAATCATTGTAAACTAATTCATGCATTATAATAAAAGCATTGATATTTTATGATTTAATAGTTGAACTTATCCACTTTTTTTCCCACCTCAATAATTTTATAACTTGGTCCTGTTTATTACATTGATGATAAACTATTTTCATATTTGACAAAGGAATATTATACAGAATGGTGGCTGTAGTGTTATGATAAGGTATTTTAATTCATACAAGTATAAAATTTCTTGCTTGAAACATAAAAAGCCTCATATTAATATATATTATAGCTAGATATGTGGATGAAAAAAAAAATCCTTATTTTCATGTCTTTGCAAAAACTGTACTTTAATAACTATTAAAGAATTTTTTAGTATACTGTATAAAGTAAGTACATCAAGTAAAAACTTTTGTTCATGGTTAGTTACGATCTCCAAGGTTCAAATACTAGTGCTCTCTTTATAAATATAAAAAAGGTGGGGACCAGCAGTTGAATGTTATCACTAAAAAATTGTTTGTAAACTTTCTGAACTACATATACTTTAATCTCTCTTACTTGTACCATGGTTCATCCAGTGTTACCACCAAAAGTAATGGAGCTGTGGATGGAGTATAAGATTAATGGCCAACTCTCATTACTTGGTCTGACAAGAGTAGCCAAAGATTTGGTGATGGGTTATCGTGACTAGTTATTTGCCTTCCTTCTAGACTACTACTTCAAAATTATGGACAGCTAGCACAAATGGGGCTTGAAGTTTCTTGAAGTTCAATAAAAAACAAACAATCTCCTTCATATTTTAATTAAGTGATTATTTTCAATTACAATGATGCTAAACTAGTATTTGTTTCAAACCGTTATGTAAATAGTGCTAGTTACTAATTTTCTTGCATAATTTTTCAGGTTGCTTTCATGGATGAGCGAGGACTGCATAACAGGAGCCCACGAGTACGGAGTCGTACTTGCTACTTGTTTTCGAGGTTTATTAAATGTTTGAAGTAAGTTTGGATTTTGATGTAAAGCAAGTTTTGAAATATTTGGAATATCCATTTTGAATTATTAAATATTGAAATGTGAAATATTGGTTTGAAAGAAAGGAATGGGCCAAGCCCGTTAAAATGGCTGAGAAAGCCACTAGAGGACATTCTAGGCTTCTGATTGGTTATTCATGTCATGTATAAAAGTAAGTGTATATAAGGGAGTGCTTCCAAATATAGAATGAGGTGGGTGGGATGCCACTGTGTTTGATTTATTACATGAACAATATCTCAGCAAATTGAAAAGATAAGAGGCTCTTATTTTATATTCCAGCTTGTCAATATTGATAATTTGAGATTCTAATTCGTACAAAACTATAGATTTAGTATTTTGACTTCACAAACATCTAATTTGAACCAGTGCTGCATTCAACATACCACATGACACAAAAAAATTTATGTTTATCTGTGTTTTTCAATATTTGCTTTTAAATTAAGAAATTGAGTTATATATAGTACTAAAATTTCAATTATAATCTGCAGTTTGATACTAAAGTTACCATGAGAATTTGAGTAATCTTATCCAGTATCACATTTCATGTGAATGTATCTTCTTTCTCTCACTTTTTTGTAAAAGTCCACCCTTCATATCCTTACATCACTGCTGGGAAAACCAACGTTCTTACTAAACTTATTCTAGCTATCCCAGAAACAACCTTATACTTCATTACCTCTTTCAAGCATGTCATTGCTGTTTTTCCAAACATTAGCATTCTTCTCATTTCTGGACCACATGAAAATGAAACTTTCCACAACCTCCACATGGTTGTTGCCTACTTTGAATTCATTGTATCATGACCTTTGTCTTCTTGATGTTCAACAGCAGACCAGCTCTCATATTTCTTTCTTTAACTTTCTAAAGAGGTTTTCTTAGATCTTCTTCACTTTCAACTAACAAGGTGGACTCTGTGTATAGACTCCTCAGGAGAAGAAGCAGATGTTCTGGTACACCTATTTTTCTGAGTACATTCCAAAGTCCTGCATGGTCCATGCAATTGAATGCTTTACTTTATGCAATGAAACATAGATAAACATCTATTTTTATATTCTCTTGCTCTTCTCATTATTCCTCTTGTGTTGGCTATCTGATATTTTCTATTATTCTTTTCTGTCTCCTGACATTCTTGGTTAGGATATATCTCTTGTCTTTTCTTGCTTGATGTTGGGATTATGCATTTAGTCATCTAACTTTCAGCAAGTCACCTGGACCTTTTACTTTCCATCTTTCCTTTATGATCTTGATAGCTTGTTCTGAGAGACATTTTATTTTCCTATTTTTTGTGGCTTTAGGGATATTTTTCTTTGCTTCTTCCTTCACAATCTCTCTTACCTCTTTCCAGAGTTCATCTGGCTGTCTGTCCATCAGACTGTTCACATCAAATCTGTTTTTAGCCTCTGTTGGAAACTTTGGTAGGATACCTTCTATATTGTATGTTGTTGGTTTTGTAGTTTTGTTCATTTTTTGTTCAGCTTAATCCAAATTTTTGATACCAGTAGTACATGATCTGTTCCACAGTCAGCACTTGGTAACTTCTTTACCAATAGGACTGCACCTTTCCACCTTCTACTGCAAATAATAGTCTATTTGATTTTGATATTGTCCATTTGGTGAAGTCCATGTTTAGAGTCTATGCTTAGACTGTTTAAAGTAGGTGTTGGTTATACATACAGCATTTTCCTCACAGAATTCTAACAATCTTTCTTCTGCTTCATTTTGTACCTCTAGTCCATATTTTACTGCAATTCTTGGTTCTTCAATTTTTCCAATTTTTGTATTTCAGTCACCAGTAATATACAGAGCATACCTTTTAGGTATAGCACCTGTCGTTTGTTGTAGTTTGCCATAAAATTTGTCGGTGTCCATCTCTTCAGCATCTGTGATGGGCGTGCGGACAGTGCAGTCAATATCACAGTGATATTGACTGGATGTTCTTTAATTATTAGGGTTATGATTCTATCATTCAACAGGTTGTAACCCAGTACTGACTCAGCAATATTCTTTAAAAAAATTAGTGCTACTTCATTTCTTTTAATAAACTCATGCCCAGAGTAGAACACTTTGAAGTCATCTGATTGAAAATGACCCATTCCTATCCATTAGATCTCACTTATTCCTAAGATGTCTGTCTTGGTTCATTCTGTTTTTGCTTTGAAAATGTCTAACTTTCCCTGATTCACATTTCTGGTATTCCATGTTCTATTAGTATGTGTCTTGTTACTAGAGGCATCATTGGCCAAAATTCCTTTCAGCTCTTATTTACTCATGTCGTTATAGCCACATCTACTCAACAATGTTCTCCACTCTTCCCCAATAGCTAGTGGGATGACTTCTGACCTAGAGACCTCATCGTTCTGCACTAAATCTTGTAGAATTATTGTGTTTCTGTCCATTAAATATTCTTGGCAATGATTCAGAAGTGGTTTTCCATTGCCTTCTGCCTAGACCCAGCTAATTTGGGTAGTGTCAAACTAATGAGGACCAGTGATCCCCACTGTTGTCTCTCTGAGATCTTCCACTGGCAGCATCATCCACTACTGCTGCTGCCCAGTAGTTTCACCATATCTCTGACAGGGAGACAGAGGGTTGCTCGCACTTGTTGAAGGTGTGACCCTGAACTCATGGGGAGGAAGGAGGGTGAAAGTGTCTTATTTTCTCATACAGATCCATTAAAAATGCCCATTACGCACATATATTCCACAGTACAGGCTGTAAATATTATAGATGTAAGTCATTATTAACTATCTTGAGTAAAATAGTATGTTTCTAAACTCAACAACTGAAATCAATAGTTTTTTAACATTAATAATGTCCTCAAAGATCAGACTTTATTCAAGTTGATTAGTTGTTATAGAAATTGTAATTTTTTCTGAACAAATAATTAATATAAAGCTTTGGTCATGTGTAACACCAGAATTGATTAGTAAAGTTGAATGGTGTTCATTGCTTTTTAGGGTGCACATCCACAGGTACACCGAAGACATTGTGAAACGAGTACAAGACTTGCTGGTTTTGGCACCACCTGAAAATGGTTTCAACACAGCTTTGTTAACACCTGATGATCAGCTTTTTCTCTACGAAGCTTCAGCAGTGTTGATTGTGTCAAGTCAGTTTGAAACTCAGGTAATAATTAAAAGTTTTTAAATGTTTTTCAAGTTATTTAAATATCTAGTTTTTTAAACTTTTTAAAAGATTTTGTTTTTATAATTGAAGTTTTCTGTGGAAAAGTGTTGAAACTGTAAGAATCGATGCTACTATAAATATTTTCATTCTAGGCCTGTAATTATGTAAATATGCTGTCTTGCAAACAGTTCTTTTTTTATTTAATTTGTGAGGCAAATTAATAATAATAACTTGTATAATAATCAACCTGATTATTATACCCTGTACTATTTTTATATAATTGCATAGCTGTGAGTCTTTTGAAGCATTTCTTTTGTTTCTGAATACAGACCTGTAATGATCTTTTTGGCAAACTTGGAAGCTGTCAAGAATATGTATTTTATCTAATTTACATACAGTGTTAGGCAAAATGGTATGTGAAAATATTTGATATCTGTAGGTTTTAATAGTGACATTTGTGTAATTAAAGACAGTGCGTAGAGTAAAACTTTTGTAAGCTTCAATGGAAATGTATCAGAGTAAAAATGTAGATCAAGGAGGGCTTATTGGTTACAGTCAGGAAAACTTCTTAACAGTGACTAATAATATTTTATGCCTTTACTGAGATTTACCTGTGAACATTGGATAAATGAAGTATATTTAAAAGTTTTATTAAATACAAATTCTAAGGTGTTGCTTTCCTCTATTAAACATTGAATCTTTTAGGAAAACGTTTTTCAGAATTTTTTTGTCAAATATTTTACATGTTGTTGTTATAGCATAAAAAACAGCTGCTGTTGAAAAACCTTTTGAATCCAGTGATGGCTAAATTTGAAATGTTCCTTCAACGACTACCAATGGAAACTGATAAAGAGAAGTGCCGAGCAGTAGCAGAATGTATGAGCCATGCTATTGCTTGTACTAGGTAATTTGTATCTGTCTCTTAGAGCATTTTACAGGCAATTATTCTCTTACTGCTATCAATCATAGTTTTTAACTTTCTCTTTATAGTTTAGTATTATCTGTGTTTAATATTTTTTATAATACAATAATCAATACCTGAAAGTATAAAATTAGTCAAAATAGCTCTAAGAGAGAGATTTTATAGAGGGAGACAAATAGTTTATTTGTTTGAACTAATGGGATGCTTAGTTTGTGCATGTAGTTTAATAGAGTTTAGAATATGTAAAAAAAGCCACATAGCTATCAATAGATTTTTTATTGGTATTCCTTCCTTGTGCTTACAAGTTTCAAGGTGTCAAGGAATTGTAACTTCAAAGTTTGAAATGGAATGTTGATTAGGAAAAAATTTAGAATATAAAAGTTTTAATGATATACAAATTATTATTTGACCTGCATAAATAAAAGTGCAGCAACTGCTAGAAATTCAGTGTGTTAGGTTAGTAGTTAGTCGATTGATAGCTGAGCAACATGATCTATGGCAAAAATGATGTATGAGGTTTAACAAAATGTGGATAACATGGAAATGGTCTTCCTCATATCTTGTTTTCTCTAAGCAAATGACAAACCTAGGTACAGTGTTACCATAGTTGTATTGTCACAGTGTTTCTTATCCATGGTACAACATAACCTTTGTATTACTATAGTTGTCTTGATACAGAATTTCCTATCTATGGTATATCACAAACTAATCTTTAATCATAAGCATCTTGTTTGCTTCAACAGTGATGAGGAATTTATAAATAACAAGTAATATTCATCCAACAATGCAATCAGAACAAGAAAATAAATACTTTTTTGTTTGCAACTTAGAACTTCTTTTCATCACAGATTGAAAATATTAATAGGAATAACTACTCCATAATGTTTGACAATGCTGATTAAAAATATATTTTACCTGTAATTTGAAAAATGACACCTTGAAGGTGTTATATGTTCTTAGTGTACTATTGAAGTCAACCAGATCTTAGTAACTTTTCATGTCCTCGATCACAATGTCTAATTTGTAATTACTTTTGGGTTGCAAATTCTTTCAACTATTTCACTACTATGGACACATAATACCCTCCTCCCCTTCTAGAACACTGCCATAGAAGCTTGGCATTTTGCATCACTATGAAAAATTGGAGTTCCCCTTGAAAGTTCCTAAGGTTTATTGGTTTTAAGTTTCAGATAAGTTATGAAATATTAAATTGTTATTTTTATTATGTAGCTAATAATCAACCTGGCACACCAAGACATGTAGCAATGAAAGAGTTAACGGCATATAACATATTACTTATTGTTGCAATTCTACTTGAACTACTGCCTTTTTTTTCATATTTCTTGCTGTTGTTACCCTTCTCTCTCTCTTTAAATTTGGCCATCGGCTTAAAGACTATTTAAGATATTTGTAAGACGTTAAAACCAACCATATTGGAAAAATAGTTTCATTGTAATGTCTATTGGACATTTTGGAAAATAAAGTTAAAGCTTTTGATAGAAAGATAAAATTGCTACATGCGAATGTAATGAGTAAACTTTATCTACCTTTTTGATGTTGATATAGCTCCCCATACTTTTAACAGACAGCTATTTAGCTATTACTTAATTTCATTTATTTCACTCAATTACTTTTTTCATTGACCTACAATTTTTGCTAATCTTCCTCATTCTTAAAGCATTGGTTTGGCCAGAAAGTATCTCCATATAAACTTCTTATCTTTGGTGTTGCATGGTTTTGATTGCCATCAGCCAAAAAGGTATTTGAATATTGTAAACAGTACTTTCCTTGTTTGTCTCTTGCAAGTGTTATGAAGGTTATTTGGCTGAAACAAACTTTAATATAGTTCACTCCATAATAGTTGTTAGTCATGCAGTTATGTAATGATATAAATAGTGTCTTGAACACTACTGTTTCTGTCGCATCCAAGCTAGCATATTTTCTTTACACTAAAAAACTGACATGTACTTTCATATGTCAAAGATGTTTCCAATAAGCTATCCATTATCACCAGAAACTTTTATAAAAAGCCTTTTCTTTTGTTCTAGTCGTACCAGCAAGGCATTTTCTAATCAACAGACAATGAAGACAACAGGGGTTGTGCAAGTCTATACTGATGCTTTGAAGGTATTCTTACAAGCTCTAGAGGTAATTAGATTCTGTTCTGTGTACTTGAAGTTTATAAGGTGTACTGTAGGTTTGTGTTTTTATTAGCATATTTTGTGACCAGGAGTTATCAAGTATATATGATTGTAGAAATGAAACACAGTTCCTAATCTACTACAGATAAACCAAGATTCTGTTCTACGTATTTTTGAGCAAAATATACTATTCTCAACTGTACTGAAACTCAGAAATTTCAGAAAGAAAAGTTACTTTGTGCTTATTTTTATTACATTTCATACATCCTAGCTTCCTCAGGAACAGACAGTTCTCCAGTCTGCAGTGCGACAATTCTTACACCGTATGGTTGTTTGTCTGGAGGAAGAGGTCCTTCCTTTTATTCCATTAGCAGCTGAAAACTTGTTGAAAAATGCAGATACACGCAGTATTCAAGAATTTATACCTCTAATAAATCAAGTTATAGGGAAATTTAAGGTATGAATTTATCCCAATTTGTAGTTCATTGTGACTGTTATGATATTAGAATTACAAAAATGAATTCAATTTATAAAAGTTAAATGTATACACGGGTATTCTATGAACATAATGTAATGTTGTAACATAATGTAATGTATACACGGGTATTCTATGAACAATGTAACGTAATGTTGTAACATAATGTAATGTTGTAACATAATGTAATGCTTAACATAATGTAATGTAATGTTGTAACATAACGTAATGCTTAACATAATGTAACTTTTTTAAAATTAAAATTACAAAAATGAATTCATCTTATATTTTGTGGAAGTCGATATTGTTTTTTCATTCTTTTTTTTTTTTGAAAAGTAGTTAGTTTTTTTGAAGGTTTAAATTAAATTTCTATATAATGTTTATTTCCTAAAAACAAGCTATTGATTGGATATTGAAAGTATTGTTTGTAAGTTTTACATGGAAAATGTATGAAAAACCACAGTTATCAGTTATAGCATTTATTCATTAAGTTTCTCATTAGTTTTAATGGTTCCATCTTTTCCGTACTTAGACATATAAAAAGCTCTGTCATCAGAAAGTAATTTTTCAGGTACCATCTATTTCATGTGAGATTATCTGGAATGGTATTTACTTCTATTTTGAGTAAAGACAATTGGCTAAAGTTTATCATAGTAGTAGTAGTACCAGAGTGCTGGTTTTGTATGTACAGGTATTCTATGAATCTGCTTAACATAATTTTGGGTTTACTTTCTAATTATAAGCATTTTGTTTTATTACAAGTTACAGGAAGAATATTTTTAAAAACATGGTATGATGTTTCGATCAATGGTGCAATCAATCTCAGGTACACAGGTTTTTAATGGTAAAGGGTTTTATAGTTAAATCAACATTCAACAATATATTTAAATTAGAGAATTGATAGTGGTTAATGTGTATATCAATTCATAGGAATTGACAGATTATTTGTTTATAGCTGAACAGAAAAACAAAAAAAATTAATAAATATGAATCAACATGAAACAGGAACAACTGTTACAGCTAGCCACTTTTTATCTTAGAGCAATATGCCATAGTTATTTCGCTATATAAGCCTGCAATTTAGCTTAGATATGTAGAGGATGGTTTTTGAAGTTTTACTTCTCAAGATAAACAAACAAAATTCCTTCAACACATAAACAATCTACACAAAGACATACGATTCACAGTTGAAAATTAAAATAACTGCATGATAAATTTTTAAATGTTAACATCACACAAACACCACAAGGCTTCACCACTAAATTCATAGAAAAAACATGCACAGCAGAAATTACATAAACTAATTTTCTAATCATGTAATCCACCACAAATAGGCACTCTTAAAAAGCCTCTTTCAGCATGGGCTCGGTCCCTGGGACTGACCTCGTAACCATTTTGTGCTTGTTATAGTTTTCATGCTATAACTTTTAAATTAGTGCTTTCATATGCAAAATATCAGATTTTTTTTTAAGTCTTAAGGTTTGTAAAACAATGTTTTTCTTTTGTCTTTTTTTTTCTTTTCAAATGTTGCCTATCCAATATGCAAAGTAATTTTCATTTTAAGATTAAAAATATTTTTATGCACCAGAAAATTTTCAAATTTCACATGCGAAATCTTTAAGGTCCAGATAGTTATCAAATGTTTCTTAAGAAAAAACTTTATATTTTATTTGTTATTTTCACCAATGAATCTCTGTATGGGTTTGGTAGATTTGATCGATCTTGTTACCACCATAAAAAATTAGGAAATAAATATAAATTATGTCTTTTTCGTTCTAGAATGACTAGAAATTATAACACCAACACATAAATGTTTAGACTAAATAGCTTAAATATCGTAACATTATAGATTTATATATATTATTTTTATTATACTGACCTTTCAGCCATGCCTGGCTAACAATACAGAAGTTACAATGATGCAGCACACGTGCACTCATGTTACCGTATCCAATAAGATAAAACTGACCATTAGTCTTTACAAAATGACTTGTCTTGGCTGTGTTTTAGTAGACCAGTATTTTGTAAAATACAGACACATTTCAATTATTACACAATATATATGTATATAGATTATTTCTATTTAAAAATAAGTTCTTAAACTTATTTTTCTTAAAACATAGAACAGTAAATAAAGAAGTAAAGCAAGGAATTATCTCTTCTAGTTATGGCCTTTGTACTCGATAGCTGCTTGACTTAGGTTGCTAAGCCTTTTTAAATTTCTTACATGGAGGACATGAAACGAAATAATTTTTTTTTAGGGTTTATATATACAGTTGAATAACCAAAAAATCCAAAATTACTACCGTATCAATACCATAGAATTCCACTATAATTTAGTCTACAAATTGAAATTTCAAGCAGATTAAAGACACAATCTACCTCCTTGAAATCTTGGTTTGAAAGAAAGAGATTGTGTCCTAAGAATTTAAAATAGCTAAGAAAGCCACTAGGGGGACATTGTGAGCTTTCGATTGGTTATTCATGTCATACATGGAAGTAAGTGTATATAAGGGAGCATTTCCAAAAATGGAAGGAGATGGGTGGGGTGCCTTTGTGTTGGATTTATTACATGAGCAATATCTTAGCAAATAGAAAAGATAAGAGGTTCTTATTTTATATTCTAGCTTGTCAATATTGGTAATTTGAGTATTTAGACATCACAAACATCCAATTTGATCCAGTGCTGCATTCAACGTACCATGTGACACATACAAATCTATGTTTAACTGTGTTTTTTAATATTTACTTTTAAATTAAGAAATTAACTGATGTATAAAACTAAAATTTGAATTATAATCTACAGTTTGATACCAAACTTATTAACATAAGTTCATGAAATAGTAGTTCAATAAAATTTTGAGTGCGAGTCAACAAATGCGATGAGATGGCCTTTGACCTGTGACCCGTCTGGAAAGGGTTAAACAGAGCATAAACTATATGCCATACAGAAAACATCAATGCTTTATTAAAATAAATCAATTCTCTATTATATTAGTTACACAAACTATTAATGAATTTAAAAAACACAGACAAGACATGTTTAATAAACAAACAAAAAAAAACATTCCAATAAACACAAAGGAAGTCTAATCACTTGCACCATCTCGTATGTAGAAAATATTAGCATATCTCTATCAGAAATTTGGAAAATACTAGCACATAAATATAACTTTAACGTAACAACTAGATTAATTTTCACCCCTGGAATGAAAATTAAACATGTTAAAAAAAATTATATAATGAACCCACCCCACCAGGAGACATGTCAATTTGTATATACAGGTATTCTGTGATCTAATTAATGTAATATTAGTTGGTATATAAAGGTATTATGTGAAATTACTTAACATAATGTGTTTGTATGTACAGGTATTTTTTGCATTTGGTTAACATAATTCAGTTTATATAATAGGTATTTTGTGACTGCTTAACAATTATGCTTCAAAGCCAAATTTCTCTTGTAGCATATGAGTTTGGGACACTGTAACTGCTCCTTGGTACCTTTTGAATGTTTAGTTTTTTTTATACTTAATTTATTATGTGGCAGCAAACGTGTTAACATCAGTTGTACATGCTGTTTGAGAAGAGTGGAATTAATTTTTGTATTTGTATGTTTGCCTAAAGCTGTAATAAACTAATCAAATGTGTTTAAATATTTAAAGTTAAAGACTTTAATGAAGTCTATACAACTGATAGGGTAACTTTGATGTAAAGAAGTCAGAAGTTATGTTTAAAAATACTTTTGACCTTCATGTTTATACATAAAAAAAGTTAGATTATTTTATCACCGTGTGTGTGTAATTTAAACATTCTTATACATCCTTTATGCCTTTTGTACTTAATAAGTTTTTAAACTTTTTTTAAGAATATACTTGTACTTTTAAGATGTAAGGTATAGTGTCACATATTTTGTGTGGCTGAACTGGCACTAGACTGATTGAAACAGTTGTCTTGGGTTTTCCAGAAAGAGATAGTTCCTTTTCTGCAACGTATCTTCATGCCTCTGGTAACTGCTATCTTTAAGGCTTTAGCAATTCCTACTGTTGAAAATGACCAACAAGCCCAACGAGAAAGACAGGTTTTACAGCGAAGTTACTTCCAATTCATTGCTGCTATTGTTACTAATAATGTCACAGAAGTTTTAGCATCACAAGGTGTGTTATCAGATTATAGATTTATCTTTGGAACTCTTCCTTTAAAAACATGAAGTACAAGTAGTTAATTCATTAATGTTGCATAAAGTACGATTTTATGTTTTTTTTAAATCTTTGATTCTGTTGTTTCAAAGTTGGTGAATACTAATTTCTAAATAGTGAATCAAATGCTTTCGAAACTAGTTAGTTAAATGTATTGGAAAATTCTTCTTGCATATTATTTGAAAAGCAACCTTAAATACTTGAAAGGAATATTTCATTTTATGCAATTGAAGATTAGTTTAATTGCAGGGTTTTTAACTGTGTAACAACTAGTCTCCTGGAAAACATAACATTTAATAGGAATTTATTTATTAAGAGACAGTTTTTTTTTACATTTTGGTAGTAGCTGTTTGGAAAGAAAGAAATAGCAAGTTTTATTTATGAACTTTAATTAAAAATGTCTATGGATGATGGTAGAAATATACTGAACTTTCTCCTTTTTTTTCAAATGCCCACACTTTGAAATATGATTTATCTGTAAGTAAGAAAATAGTGGAATTGATTGGTATATTTTTATTTTTGTATGTTGGTGTTTTATATATAAAATTTTGTTTTGTTTGGAAACATCTTTTATTTTTAGTAAAGTCTATCATTCTGTGTTTTGGATGTTGATTTATCATTACATTTTTGTTTGTACATTAATTTAGGCTGTTTGTTGTTAAGTATAAAGCACACTGTTATCTGTGCTCTGGCTGTGGGTATTGAAATCCAATTGTTTTTTTTGTTATCTCAGACTTACCATTGAGATATCAGAGTACTTAGTTTTGGTATTTGCAAACCAAATACAGTTTTTCAGATGTTTCTTGATAATCAGCTTTTTTTTCCTTCCTTTATTTTCAAGACATGCAAAGTATGGAACAAGTTCTACTAACAATAATTCAGGGGGCTGTAGACTTTCCTGATCCTGTGGTAAGTAGATCAAAGTATGGAACAAGTTCTACTAACAATAATTCAGGGGCTGTAGACTTTCCTGATCCTGTGGTAAGTAGATCAAAGTATGGAACAAGCTCTACTAACAATAATTCAGGGGGCTGTAAACTTTCCTGATCCTGTGGTAAGTAGATCAAACTATGGAACAAGTTCTACTAACAATAATTCAGGGGACTTTAGACTTAGACTTTCCTGATCCTGTGGTAAGTAGATCAAGGTATGGAACAAATTCTACTAACAATGATTCAAGGGGCTGTAAACTTTCCTGATCATGTGGTAAGTAGATCAAACTATGGAACAAGTTCTACTAACAATAATTCAGGGGACTTTAGAGTTAGACTTTCCTGATCCTGTGGTAAGTAGATCAAGGTATGGAACAAGTTCTACTAACAGTGATTCAGGGGGCTGTAGACTTTCCTGATCCTGTGGTAAGTAGATCAAACATATTTCAAAGTCATAACCAGATGTTTTGTATGTTACGTTTTGGCTGTCTAGTGGTTTAAGTTACTAGTTGCAGGTAATTTTATGATAAATTCAGTGTAATTTTATAGAAACATCTGTAGTTTTACCAGTCATTAACATAATCCATTCTTTCAACTTTTTTATTACGTTAATCTTTTTCTTCCATTTGTAAATATAAAGCTTTAATTAAACACTCAAAATGGTGTGATTTGATGTCATGTATAGTGCCTATTTTGAGACTGTTGACAATCTCAAAATATAGTTTTAAATTGTGTATTGAAACAAAGAGTTGATTGTTTGAGTGTTTTAAGCAACCACATGACCATGTGTGGTTTCAGCTACCCATTTTTTTTATACCTTTCATGTATAACGGTTGTGTGAGGGGTTTTCTTGGGTAGCAAGAAAAAAGTTCATGCTGTTTTAATCAATCTGAATGGTTTTTTATGTACTTCCTCAGCTCAAGCAAACAGCAACATATGTTTAATTTATCAGAATATCAGAGAGCAACCCTATTATTAAAACCTAATCTAAAAAAGCATTGATAACTAATATTTATAGAAAGAAGGTTGAATGGGAATACCACTAGCATTTCATAGACAACACAGACTTGATGGCTGTTGTGAATGTTTGCCCTTAGTTTTTTAACTAGAAAAATAGTCCATCCTCAAAGATCAAAATATGTTCTTATTTTGTTTTGGTAACTTATTTGATGCATGATTGTTTTTCAAATACTTTGTATAGTTTGTCCTGTAAAAAATCTCAATTTCTACACTGTTAATAGATATATTTGAATGATGGTGTAATAAAATTTGATACCTTATTATAAATTCTGGTTGAACTACTATAAGACATTGAAGCAATACTTATATGAAATTTTATAAGAAATTGTTTTTCTGTATCCAAATTTAAAATTTCAAACTCAATGGATTAAAATTAAATTGAAACACTAAAGTGGAGGTTAAAACTTACAAGAAACTATTCATGTTTTTATACTTTTGTTTGTAAATGTATATTATGTCTCATGTAAGTGGTTAAGAGTTTTTAAAGAAGATGGCATTCAAAAAAAGATATATATAAGCTATGCTTTTGCTTTGTTAGATTTGTTTTAACACATCCCTCACGAGCTAGGGGTGTCTTTACACTACAGTTTGTTGAACATTAAAAGTAAGTTCAATCCAGAAACTCCCAAAGAGGGTGGTTTTGGACGTATCTTTTCTAGACAAGTTTTCGTTTAATTAATTAATTTTTGAGTGAAATACAGCATTCTCAAGTCTCCATTCTAACTAGTACTAAGGTTTACCTGCTGGGAGTAAATTCATTGTATATTGTCAGCATCATTAGTTAAGCAGTTGCCAACCTTTTATGCTTCTGCTTTCACCTTTTTGTGTTTAGCTTTCAATTGAGATATGAATGATTTCACCTGCGATTCGGTAGGAAAGGTCAAAGCATCATGATAGTCAGCAGTAGGATGAGCAGACAGGAACACTTTGAAAGCAGCTAAAGGCATAATATTGTACTCGGCTTGCTGCACAATATCTACCAAGGTGATTTTAAACAGTTCCTGAATACCTCTGCATGTCATTTAGAGACTTCCATGCTTCTTGTGCTTGGCTGTTAAGCTTGCAATGCGCTGACGGATGTGTCACCTTACCACTTCAAATCACTTTTTTGCAGCCCCAAGTGCTAAAAAAGTGCTTTCTTTTTAGCCAGTAAAAATGTCCAAAAAATTTCAGTTCAAATCAAGAAAAACCAGATTGGGTATTTTTTTCAACAAAAATGTCCCCCACTGGCTCGTGAGGGACCTGTTATAACTTTACTTTGACAAAAAGCACAAGTCACAATTATTGTTTATGGTTGTTATATATTTTTAGCAAGACATAAAAGAATTAATATGGATATTTCTTTCAGGCTCAAAAGACGTGTTTCAGCATTCTTAGGAAAATGGTGGAATTCTGGGGTATGTTACACAGCTTTATATTTATACTCGTTAAAGCTGATGATATTTGTAATAATAATTTAAAACTTTTCTTTCTTGAGTTCAATAGTTTAAAAATTCTTGATTAGTTGTTACAAATGTACCATGTAAATTCAGGCATGTTTATATCCCTTTTTTTTTACTGTTATTTGTATACATAGAAAAGAAACATTTAGAAGTTATCCTTGTGTATAGATTTATTTATCTTTGGATAGCAAACATATAGGGTGAAACAAATGCATTTTCATTGCTGAGATATATGTATATATCTTTTGTAATAAAAGGCCAATAACAAAATGAGTTCAAATGTACACAAGCTGTTTGTGATTATTTGTTTGGGAATCTGTTTTATGACACTGACGTTAAATATATATAGTTGTTTTCTTATGTGTAATAATTCCAAAACTCTGACTTTGAGGAATAATATAATGTTAAAGAATGATAAATTATCCTATCCTGTGAAATTTGATTTTGTGATATTTCTGCATGTATATTCTTATGCAATACTAAGTTTTTTGAAATTTATTACTAAATGTTACAATTTGTATTTACTAAAAAGAACAACTTAATTTCCAAAATGGATTTTGAAGTGTTTTACGTCATTATTTCTGTTATAATGTTTTGTTGATAAAAACCTTACCTAACTTTCTAGGTGGACCTGAGGGAGTAGCAGGTTTTGTAGAATTCATGTACAAATCCATTGTCCCTGCTTGTTTTCTAGCACCACTGAAGGATACGTTTGATCTCACAGATGCACAGACAATATTGGTAAAACACAATTATTATATAAGGCATTTATTATTGAATTTTTGCAAGATAATGACTAAAGTGATTAAAATTAAAGAAATGTGGTTTTATTGCAATGATTTTCAAAGGGTTAAGAACTATTAGTGTACTTGATCCTGTTAGATTTACATATATTTATGGATGTATGCAAGTTTTTGAATGAGAGGCAAGTTTTCTAGTAGTTTTTGCTTATTTCTGCACTTCCTTTCATTTTTTTATCGTCTAGTCCAATTTAGCATCGTTTTCATGTAGTGCCGTAACTAGGAGACTGAAGGGGTTGGATAGAAGGTAAATAACTAACTTAATGATTTGGGTTGTAGAGAAATGCAAGATAGAAAAACTTATTTTCTCTGAATTGTTTTGGGGGTGGGGGTGAGGGCTAAAGTCTGGTAGCTTTTGGCGCTACAAAATATTAATTTGTTTTTGTGGCTTTGCTACTCCATTGTATGGTGTTGGTTTCAGTTGGCCACTCTAGTGCTTCCAAGCACTAATTTAGTTTAGTTGTTATACAATAATCATTATTATGTTGCATATTTTAATTATTATGGAATGATAAGATTTGTATTTGAAATAGATGAAAAATTAACTTTTGAGTATTTGTTTTACTTGTTTTTTGGACCTTCTCTAATCAAAGGCTAGATATCTTTGTGCTTTTTTATGGTGTTGTGATGTTCTTTTTCTATTTTGTTACTTTAATGTGCTTTCATTACTCTGTCTGAATATTCTACAGTCTAAGGTTTGACATCTCTGTGCCATATCATTGTGTTGTGATGGATTTTTGTTTTGTTGACTTTCATTATTGTCTGCTTTTTTCCTCATTCACACCAGTTTTTGTTTTATTGATTTGGACACTTCGTCCATTCAGATGAACTATATTGGTTTTGTCAGTGCCCTTTATGTGCTTTTCAGTCTCGTGTTTTTGTAGTTGGGTTATTTTGTACTCACACTGTAACTTGGAGACTCAGGCTGAACCAATTCACTTGGAAATTGATAGATTAGCAACAAACTATGGTACTGAAAAGTCACAAAAAGATATGATTTTCAATATACAAATGTACACTTCTGTGTGTCGCAGTGTATATCATACTGTTTCATAACATTGTGTCTTCAAATCTTGCTACACCGTCAAGTAGCTTTAACCAAATTCCTAAATCACCTATGAGTGACTTGCATATGGAGCAGTGTGTGTTCATGACACTGATCTGCACTTTGACAAAGTTTTTGCATGGATGGAGTTGTATGTCAAACATAATTTTCTGCAGATGTCTAATAAACAAGATTAGTTCACCAAGTTAATATCAATTGAAATATAACATTTTGCACATTCAGCAAGAGCAAAATCATTTGAAATATTATGTAAAACAAGCTCTTTTGAGTTTCTTACCTATAACAATTATGTAACTAGATTATCTATACCAACAATGTTTGTTTTTTCTATTTGCATTTCTTTTTATACATAAAGTTTCAGGTTTAAGAAGTTAATGTTGTTAACTATTTGTTTCCTTGCAATAGTTCTCATCACATATTTCAGTATCACTACTTGTGTTCAAAAGAATATGTTATTGCTAAATATTTATGCTCACATGGCATTTTTTTATTTTGAAAACTTTCTCATGCACTCATCTTTTCCTTTATATTCCACCAGTATGTAACTTGTTTTTTTGTCCAATTGTTTTTTATATTAATAGGATTTATGGATGTCTTTACTTTTATGTACATGTCCATTTTATCTTTCTGTGTTTGTACACTTTTAAACTTGCATATGTATAAATTTTACTTGATTTCATGTCAACCCCCACTTATATAATAGAATCTCTTTTTTTTTGTCTTCATTGTAAATGTAGAATGTTTTCTTATAATCATGCCAGAAGAACCGTTCTGCTTTTTCAGTTACTTTTGGTAAATGGATCAAAACTGTTTTATACAAGATCCTTTTCTTTCTAGTTATAGGAGGACATTTAAAGTGTTTTTGACATGTTATGTTCCATTCATTTGGATCAGATTTATTGTACAATTCAAATCTTCACTACTTGTTTTCATTTGTATATAACATTTTATACCAGGAGGCCCATCCTTCTTTGATTAAGAGATGTTTGAATGTAAACTGGTTTAAAGTTTTACTTGAAATATTCTCTTATATAATAATAATAAGAAAAATATTTCAATATTACCATATGCATTTTATTTTTCAAATTATGCATGGTACAGGATTGTGCATTCTCATCTTGAGAGGTCGGACCTGTTATCAGTTTTGCTTGTGGTGCTTTCTGATGTTTCTTATACTCTAGTAGGTAGTATTTTGATCAGTCTGATTATTCCATGAGTATTTTAAGTGTCCTCTAGATCTTTATCTTTTGTCCCTCCTCCACAAATTTCCTGAATTATTCAGGCAGACATGTAGCCTAGTGCACTACATTCACATCCTGAACAAGATCTTACACTGGCACATAAGTGATGTTTTGTTTTTGACCATTAAACTTATAGATTTTAATTAGGCTAGTACAGATTGCGGGTACTTTATATAGGTGTTTGTGTCTTTGTATCTCATAAGGCATTTTCTCCTTTTCCCTGTGTCTGATTATTTTTTATTACATTTCATCATTTGCATATTTTTTAACTTCTCCGTTTCTTCTGCTCAACATCAGTTTGAAAGAAAACTAGAATATGTATCTTGACAAATAGCCAGGAGAGTAGCCAATAGCTAAAGTAGAGGTGTGTATATATATTTTGGGGTAAAAATTATGTAACTTTTGCATTCTCTGTTTTTGTCAGACTGAAATTTTGTATTACAAGTAGATTTCTTTAAAGTTAGAAAATGTTCAGTAAACAGACCTGAGTGAGCATATACTAACAAATGATATTGTAGTAAATAAAATAATTTAGTTAAAAGTAACAACTTTGTGAAATCAGTGATATGGTGGGTGATCATGAAAATATGATTTTAAGTAAAGAGAAATTAATTTTTTTTTGATACAATATACTTTGAAAGTATTTCGTATTTTAAAAAAGTTTACAAAACTTGAATTACTCTAAACAATTTTCTTTTGACTACTACAGCTTTTGGATCAGGGAAGAAAAAAAATGCACTGAATCTGTCTTGTATTTTTAGGCCTTGACTGAGAGTGCGTTGTGTTTAAAGGCAGTGTATGAAAAGAGAGTAAGTGATACTGGATTTTTAATATTGCAGATATTAAAAAGTAGGTTTAATATGAATATATTTATACTTAAAGTGTATAAAATACAGATGACATCAGTCTATCCAACCAAAATAATTCCCTTTCATCAGTCTGTCTTGCATTCTAATTCTGTTTTATTGCTTTAAGTGTTGTCTGCATTTATTTCATATTATACCAGAAAGATTTTTAATATAAACTTCTCAAGTAATGTAAAATTATAAATAATATATCACAAAGAAAATGGTAATGAAAGATAACATATATAAGATTTATCCAACTGTAATGAAAAGGATCGTCAATTATCAGACAAAAGTAAAATGCATCCTTACATAAAACATTCATTTTCTAGGGTGATGAGTTTATCAGCTTTCTTCATACAGAGTATCTTCCAACAATGAATGTCTCTCCACAACAAATTACTGACTACTGTCATGCTCTAAAGTCTGAATCGAAAGTCTTCAAGAACTATTTAAAGGTATGCCAGCCAAACTATTGGCTTTCATTTCTGAAGTTATTCGGTTCAAGAATCATCTTTAGAATATACTGAAATGATTTTACTGAGTATTTAATAATCAATATAAATGTTACTCAGTGGCAAAATGTCATAATGTGTAATTTGCTTATGACATTGTACATCAAGCACAGAATAATATTTTATTTGATTTACTGAAGAGTAAATCAGTCATAACAGTTTTGACACTTAAGCTTACATGAGAATAGCCAGAGTACACTGTAAGTTACAAAATTTGTGTTTATTTCAAACAAATGTGTGTGCAAGGTGTAATTTGTTGATTGGAAAGTTTGAGTAGGAATTTCTATTTCATTTCACACAAGTTCTGTATGTTAGGAAAGCTACTATTTTGTTTCATGTAATGTTAGTTATTTTATTTTATTGGTCTAGCTGTGGATGAAAGTAGTATAACCGGAATTGTATATGTAGTAAATGGTGAACCTGATATAACTACTCAGATATTTATATTAAGTAACAAAAATATTGGTTCTTTATTTGCAGTTTGGTAAAACATGAAGAATTTCGTTTTCATAAATATTATTATAAAAGGTTTTAATATAAATGCTGAGAAGTATGAGTAATTCAGTTATAGGTAGTGAGCTACTGTAAAGCAACCTTCATTCACAAAAAGATGAATGAATTCACAAAGAGTTTGAAGAAAAATGTAAAAATTGTAGAATATGCCATAGTACCTATCTGTCTGAATGTTAAATGTCCACATTTGTGCATTGATTTAGGGAATTTATGTATTTCATAAATTTAGAAAGCAGTGTGTTTAAAGTGTCAGGGTTCAAGTTAACCCAAACTCCCACGTCCCAAACGCATGAGAGTTTGGCAGGATGCAGGAGAGCTGACCCCCTGGGTACTGAATACTTACCGCAAAATGCTCCATATACAAGCCAACTATAAGTTTTTTGCTTTGAACTTTGTACCATAACAAACTAAGTAGTGTATTGTTTGCACACAGCTACCCACAATCAACTTCTAACAGAGTTCTTAAATGATAATAAATTACACGAAAATAAAGCCAGGTGAAAGTACCACATGATTAACCCTTTCACCTTGGGTAGGTCAAAGTGCGCATGTCACAACCTTTCACAGAGTTACATTCAAAGTTTAACTAAACTACTTTATTATCAATGTATATAAATAAACTCTGTATCAGAATGTTGATAACAAATCAAAGTTTGGTATTATTTAAGTTTTAAGTTCTTAATTTCATAAGGAAATATTTTAAAAAAATTCTCAATCTCCCCTAGTTTGAGAACAGTGACATTTGTTATTTATGTCTTCCCTCTTTAATTTTTTTTACCACCCCTAAGAGAAGTACAAAATTTAATGTAAATTACCTTCCAGTTCAAACTTTATTCTAATGGGAAACGTATCGATGAGCTTGACTGAATCTTTTAATGGCTTTTGTCACACAGTTAGAAAGCCATAAAAATTGTGATAATTATGGAACATTGTTTCATTATTTTCAAGTTTTTGCATGTTATTATTCTGTGTTCTTTGGTACATTATTTAATTAAATAGAAATTATTTAATGCAGTAATACAGTTAGTAGAAAAAAAGTAGGGTTAAGTTTCATTGAGAGTCGAAAGCAAAAAAAAAAAACCTAGGCAAGTACTTTATTTCTTGTTTTTCATGTGTATTCTTTATTTATTATTATAAAGGTAGCTAAAGTGTAAAAAATTGCAAACGTTTTAAGTAAGATAAAGGCAAATAGATAATTGTCAGATTTTTAAAGTAATATTATGTATGTAAGTTCTTTTTTGCCAATTGGCGAAATAAAAAGGCTTTTACTTACATTTCTTAATAGTATAAATATATACTATGTTGTTGTTGGGCTTAGGATTCTTCTACAATAGATGTCTGTGACTTGTTAGCGCTAAATTCCATAAAGAATAAACAGCACACACTTTACTTCTTTTCAAATAATATATATAATATAAATAGTGTTTATGATATGCCTGTAATCTCTATAGTGTGAAGACTTTGTTGTACATAGGTTTAACTTGTTCTGAATATATATATATATATATAAGTTCTCTTCTTCTTGTCAAAAGCCCACTTAGGCCTGTTCAATTGCTTTAGAATTTCAGTTGACAAGTCGAACTATCTTCTCTATATTACTATCATACCAGTATTCTGTGTGTGATTCACTTACAGTTGTGGTACAAGTTACCATAATTCGTTTGGTCTTTTTTCTTCTGAAGATCCTCTGTTCCTTTTGTCAAAGTGTACCCAGGCTGATTCAATTACTTTAGAACCATGCTTTGACAGAATAAAATTATCCTTCTTATCTTTTTTGATACTGTTAGTTTCACTCTAACGTATTAAACATTAGGCCTATCACCTTTGCAGTACTTAACTTCACACAACTATATTCTCTTCTGCTATTATCTCTCTATTGTTGTCTGTCTGCTGCTTCCCACTCATCTCACACTATTTATATCTTTACTACATAGTCATCTGGCCACTTTCTATATTCTTGACACCAATTAGTTATTAACAAAACCTTCTACAATCATCTGCTTTTAACTCTTATTATAACAAATCTTAAAAATAATGAAACATTCACTCACAAATATAAATTAATCACTAATATTTAAACCAAACAGTCTTTTATATCATGACATTTACCCATTGGGTTTTGATTGTGATTCGATTGGCCATTTCTTTCTTGTATCTTTCTTCCCATCTTCACTTCATAGTGTCTTCACTCCTATCATGCACCTCCCTTTTTCCCTGCATGTCTACCCTGCCTTCACCTGGAGGTACTTTGTCTGTCGAACACTGGGACTACATCTCATACGTTCATCTCCCATTCTCTGCATTGGGTAGCTGTTTCTTTCTTGTCAGGGTATCATCATTCACCTGTTGCCATCCTTCACTCTTTCATGCGATTGTGACTGGGTAAGTTACCTTTTCTTATAAAAATCTCTTATTTTTCAGGAGCATGTTCCTCTTTTTTCTTACTGGATCCCGCTCAGTGGTGAGTTATGCCTGACCAGGTATTCTTTAACCTTTAAAATCTGCACTGTTCAGCCATGTTGACTTACTTGTTATGTTCTATGGCCATGCAATGCACACTGTTTATGGATGTGTTTCACAAGATTGCTTGAAGGTTTTCCTCGCGATTGAATTGCTTCATAAATATGCCCGTCCCAGACTGTACTACCCATGGACTACATGGATAAAGCAGAAGGGGATAGCTGCCCATCCCTGCCATGCTTTGTATTGAATAAATCGGAATGGTCTGCTTTTAAAAATAGGGTTTCGTGGTCACCCATTGTACTGTCTCAGGTGTTGATATTTTTGTGGACTTTTAACTGTGTTTCACCTACCTTTTTCTTCTAGTGTAGTTTGGGAGTCCTTACCAACATTCCAGTTCCAAGTCACTAGAGTGGTGGACCATGAAGGCATCCTCCTGAAGGGTTTAGTGAAATAAAAAATCAATACAGAAATACCATTCAGTGCAGAGTAGGGTGTGGTGTTCTGCTAGTGTAGATGACATCATATCCTCCACTATAAAGCATATGAAAACCAAAGGAGTGAGATTTCAAATTGCAGTTCACCTCTTTGATTGGGATCCCTCATCCTACCCCCACGTGGATGTCAGTTCCCAGTGGCCGGGTTTTGGATTTAGAGTAGAACCAATCAACATAAGTCCTCACACATGTATTATGGACGTTTGTCTTCCTCCCTTAATTATACTCCATTTGTGTTGTGGGTCACAGTGGAGGTGCTTGAGATTGTTACAGTTCTTTCCTTTCTGCACTTCCTCGATGTATCTTATTATGAGGATGTTATTGGGCCGGGGTTGGTTCTGGTCAGCTGCACTATTGAAGGAGTTGATTTCTCTATGGTAGATATCTTTTCGATACCGGATGTTGGGTCCCTGGATCAATATATCATTTTCTATTCTTACATATACCCTGTTCCAGAGTCAGGAGGGTTTGAGCCCCCCCCCCCCCTCCGGTCTCTTGAACTTGAGGAGAAGATGGTATGATCTTCATCCTAGTCCCGCATGGATGTCAGTTCTCATTGGCATGGGTTTTGTATGTAATTGACTTGCCAAGTGTGGTCCATCATGCCCTAGCCATTACACCTGTGGGCACTTCCATTGTTTTTTTCCCACACCTCTTGGATGTGCTCCTCTGTTTTTATGCCCATATATACCACATCTTTCTCTGATAGGCAAAGAGTATATCTGGTTGAGACGTGGTGCAGTCTCCCACATCAAATCTTCGAATTTGACTCTCTCATCTCAAGGAGCGTCTTTCGTGCACTTTCAAAGGGTGCTTCTTTTGTTCTCACACATTGGTCCCTCCACCTGTTTAATATGGGATTCTAGCTATTTATGTGAGCAGAAGTAATGTACTGTATCG